GAAATCCCTGGATAGGTGTCTCGAAGCCAAAGGGTTCCCTGCCAGTCTAGGAGCACTTAACACCCCTGAAAGCAAGTTGCAGCCAAGAACGTCTGACCTTTGGAACCTCCACACATGCCTAGTGCAGTGCACTCAGATGTCCACCTTATTAGACCAGTGCTCTGAATACTTTTGGAGCTCCCAGGGCATCCAGGTCTGTGGGTGCCACTCCTTAACTCAAAGGGGGTTTGAGCCTTTTCTCTGAAGTTTAACATCACCACATTCTTCAGAAAATATGGCACATTTCCCATCATCTCAGTTTGTGATTAATAATACCTTGTTCGGTGAGTGTAACAAAGCTAAATATGGGCTTGATGGCAAAGTTGTTTATCTTCTATGCACTATGTGCTGACATTGATGATGTCATCCTGGTGAAATACCGAAGAAAGACCAGCAAACATGCTGTTCTCCTGCAGCTGAGAACCTACTGTGGTCATGAAGGGACCAAGCTGAGAGCTGTTCTGCTGCTGAGACAGTAGAACACTTGTCAGTCAAATGAAATTGTAAGGCAACAAGTGAAGTTTACTAAAAATACCATGATGGCCACATATGAATCCCTAGAATGGCAATCTTAACTAATTATGAGAGGCACAGAAATACTTAGTCTCTGGAATATATCAGGCAGCCATATAAAGGGAAGAACTAAGAGTGGAATTACCATGAAGACCATCCCGTTTCCTGAACTTTGGGTTACCTGGACTTTTAATCTGTTACCTGGACTTTGGTAAATCACAATTTTGTCTTTAGATTTGGTAAAGCTGTTTGTAACAGGCCATGTAAGTCCTATTTGAAGGAAGTTGGCACTTGGAAATGAAAGTAATAAGGACTGAAGTATAAGAGTTCCTTTCTGTTATTTCATTGATGTGACCTACAAGGTGTGATTTAGTACCATGACAACTGAACTGCTGATTATAAAACAGACAGAAGATAGCTGTGGTCTGCAAGTTCTTGTCTGAAGTTTTATTACTTTGAGTTTTACTTCATAATCATTAGCTGTGATGATAAATATTCTATGTTTTAGTTGAATATGATAAGATGGTGTGTGCAGATGCTGACGTTAGAAATACAGGGCGTTTTTTTAATGATTAAAATGGTTCATGTATCACTAGGATTGTATTACTTTGTTTTCTAGAGCTTTTACTAGGGGCTGATTTTAAAACTGGATGCTGAATTGCAGGTTCCTGAATTCAGACTGTAGCATTCATGTAAGTGGCCTTTATTTTCTATAGGTTTGGATTATTGCCTTCACGGCCCTGGTAGTTCCCACTGCTCTTTCCAGGAATGATGTTGCAGGTGCAGGTATCAGTATCCTCATATATATTCAGCAGATTACTGTCAGTTTCTGTGGAGGATCTGACTCACCTCACACTCAGCTTTGGGGCCTTTAGGGTGCAAAGGTGTAGCACAAGATAGGAACCTCCAGAGAACCAGAATATGGGATGGGAATTGTTCTTTGGAGATTCTTTTCCTTCGGCACATGTGGATCCAGGACCCATCACTTCTTCAGTGACTCTCCTTCCGTTTGGGATGAATCTTTTGTGTCTAATGATTTCAATTAAATGAGAGACACATTGCCACCCTTGACCCTAGTCCGAATTCCATCAGTCCTCCACCTTGTCAATCCCTTCTCGGTTGTGGCCCTGTGAAGGCTACTCTGCAAGCTGTGATCCAGCCTGTAAAATTGAGGAAGCAAGAAGCATTCCCTTTCATCTGTTTACAGCAGTACAGGTCAAACACCACACTCATTTTGTCCTCTCTGTTGTGCAAAAGGTATTTCCTCTTGGATGCAGGCAATTTTGCAGCTGCTGAATGGCCTTGTTGAGGCATTTTTTTCTTTTCTGTCACTGAATATGCACTTAACATCAGGAAATCATTACAGCAAATTGGGAAACTGTATGTGTGTGTATGCATAGTGAACACATCATCCAATTGTCTTCAGTAATGTGCAGGGTAAGTTAAAATACCTCCCACACAATATTTGGCTTCTGAAGCTTGGTTCCAAACTGGCCATTACCAGAGTAATGATTTAATCAGTTGTTAACAGTCACTGTACTCCCTACCAACTGATGAGCATGTAACCTTTCAATGACTCTCTCGCCACCTCCTCTGTTGCTGTCATTAGAAGACCTGGCCCTACTGCAAAGGGTTTCTATTCACTGCTGCCAAGGTTCCTCTCTCCTGAGTTCCCAGGGCATCTCATCCATTGCAGGGAAATCTCTTGCTATCCCCATGGGGAAGAAACAAAATGGAAACCTCAGCAGCTGCCATTTATGTTAGAAGTCCAGCTTTCAACTACAGCTAATGCTAGGTTACCTCCTGGACCTAAAGTCTTAGAGAGTGAGGTCTAACTTTCAAGGGGAATCCATTCTGTTCATACTGATGGCTTTGTCTTAGGCTGAGACAGCCTGTGTAATGCTCAGAAACAGCAGAGTTCTAAATAACTCCTTGTGGAGAGAGCCATACTATCCACAAGTCCATTGACATGGCATCCTTCCTGGATGTGCATGGGCCTGATCATGTTCCACCTCTTCCTTGCTGGGAGAGTTGGAACTTTCCTTAAGTCTTTGTTTTGATGAGTAGAAATGGGGACATAAAGAACATACCAGTGATTTGTGACCTTTTTTCTGCCACCCTTAGTTTGGAGACATGGAGAATAATTTTGCAATCAGTGTATCTTCTCTAATAAGGGCTAATTTGTAATGACTCTAGCAAAAGGTCATAGCACCAGGTAGAAGGAACACTCAGATCAAAAATCCCCAAGGCTCTGTGTCTTTTTTTCTGAATGGTACCATGAGATTTAGCCCTGAAGGATTCCCAGTGTCATTGCTAAGGGTCTGTTGTCATCAAAGAAGAGTTCTCAGGCTCATCACCTGAGCTCAGGCCATGTTGCTTTGCTTAGAATACAGAGGTACATCAACTAGCTGAAACATCTCAAGGCATTTGATATAGTTTTCTTCCCATCAGCTTTAGTTGAGACAGAACTACCTTGGGGAATGCATCATCCAAATCATGTGTTCATAACTGGGTAGAGTTGGCATGCTAAGAGCTTACCCAGCTATGGGCTGCAGAAATGAGGAGAAAGGTTTGCTTGTTTTTCCTGCAGTGTTCCCTGAGGCCATCTGCTTCCAGACCTTGTGGAGAAGTGCAGAGGCAGGAGTCTGACACAGGGCGACAACAGGATAAAGACAGCATGGAGTGACAAACAATGTTTTTGTAAGAACAACCATTTGGGACACACAAGGACGTGTTCCCTAAAGCACTCTGGTCTGCGTCAAATGTGACATGAGGTCCTTAATCCTGTTGACTCTGAGTGGTTCTTATGGTACTCTCCACCCAAGAAAGGCCATTGTGGAGGAGGAGGCCTGAGGAGGAGACTGGTTTCTCAGAGCAATCCATTCCCATTTCAACACAGCCTGCAATGGAAGATAAGAGGAGCATCTTCCTTTCCTCAGTAGTGGTCCTGTGCAAGGGGATGCTGGCTTGGTCTTGGTCTCAGGTGTCAAGGCCCTACCCAACTAAGATGTTCAGGTGAGGCAAATAGCCTGAGCAGTCAGACTCCTGGCTACAGGTTCCCTCTACTTGCAATGGCAAGACAGGGAAGTTGTCAGAGGAGAAATTAACCTGTCCTGAGGTCTCACTGGCCCACCAGGTCTTTACACTCTGTGTTGAGACTAGGGGAGGGAGGGTGACAGAAAACCCACACCCTCCCTTTCTTTATCCCTTCCTCCCTCCCTCCCTCTCTCCATCCCTCCATAATCCTTCCATTCCTCCATCCCTCCTCAGTTTGGCATCTAGTACCTATAGGTAGGTGGAAGGAATCTGACCTACACCTTTCCACCAGGCCTGAGAACAAATGGACATGAAATGCACCCAAGACGTCTTTGCTGCATTCTTCCCTCCTTTGCTCACTCCTAGCTTTCCTCCTCTTATTCAATGCCTGTCAATAGCAAATGACTTTACATACTAATATCATGTAAGGACGGCCAGATCAGAAATCTGCCCTGCCCTCTCTCCAAGAGTAGTAGATAGGTGGAGAAGGGTAAGAGCAAAGCAAGTATACATATTTCAACTTTATACAACCAAAACATGTTTTCAGATCAGATATTTCTTACACCTGGTGGGGGTTCCATGGATTTAATAATTCTTATTGGATTGCTAAAATCTGGACACCCCTTGAGCCCATGGAAACTTTTACCATCCACAACCTCTTGCATCAAGTGGTTCTCAAAGTTCCCTACACCTCACATGAAGAGCCACACATTTATGAATACAGTGCCCAGTAGTTTTGATTCATAACTCATTGTCTTGCATTGGTGGAGGTACTGAACAGCCAGTCCTTTCCTACCCTCTACAAGATAATTATGTATCCACAGACCTTTGTGACCCCTCAGCTGCCCTTTCTTCCAGACTGATGAGACCTAGCTTACTCAGTGCCCCCCAGAATACAGTGGCTCCAGGCATTTGTTCACCCATGTTGCCATCTAAACCATTCCACATTATACTATTTCTATTCTGAGACAAGAAGACCAGGACCACTCATTGTATTTAAGATCTGCACAAATCACGAATTTTTACAGTGGCATGGTGATGTCATCTAGTAATTTCTAGTATCTGATTTACTTTATTGACTGTTACCGAGCAATGAGGTGACATTTTTGTAGAACAGGCTCTCACAGCCCCAAGACTGTGTCATTTCTGCTCCACCCCACTAACCCCCATTCACCTTGAGTAGTAATGGTCAGGTTAAAGCTAATAATTCTAATTTAAGAAACTAAAAATGTTCTACTTAGGAACAAGAGTGTCTGGCAGAGACCTCCATAGAGATGAGTCAGAAAACTCAGGAAACAGTGTTTCACAAAGACAGAACAAGACCTTTACAACAATGTTTGGATCCAGAAAGATGGTGGCTAGTGACCTGACACAGTCTGCTGAGCAGCTGGGCCAGTACAACACATAAACAATTTAATCCAGCACCTCTTTTACTGAAAATGAATAACAAAAACTTAATAAATCAACAATTACTTATTGCTGTATTTGGGATAATAAATTCTTTAGTTTATCAGTAGCTTGTGGCTTCCACAGCATGTTCTTTGAACAGTTTGCCTTTCAGTTACATCCCCTTTCTCTCCTGAACAATAAATTAGCATTCATTTTTCTTTTAAAGGAAAAGAGGGGAAAAAGAGGATATATTACAATTTTTTCAAAGCAAAAAGAAAAATGCAACATATTTTTGACATATATCTTAAAATAATATGAGGATAACTTTCTCTGCGTGTTAGATGCCTATGCATAAATAACAAAGGACGTTATGTTATTTACAGTGTTACACAATAAACTAAGAGAGTCTTATTTAACACATAACCCATAAGGACAGTAAATGATGAAAACATCCAAGTATGTACAAGATGTATTTACAGTAGAATAGAGAATTACAAATGATGATAATTGGCCATGTTCTTTGTCTGCCCTTCTCTGCAGCATTTCATAGGTGTTTTTTTTGTTTCTTACTAGAAGTAAGTCCCAGCTGATATTAAGTAGCCACACTGCAGGGCCAAGAAGTGTTCAACAGGTTGACAAGTGTGTCCTTTGTGGGGACACAAGTTTGCTATCCTGGGTCCTCAGGATACTTCTTGCAATGTGTGTGGGAAAAGCAGGGAGATGCAGCGTTGTTGTTTTGGAGGACTGGAAAGAGGAGGAACTTTCCTGTTTCCCTGATAAAGGCAGTGATTGATCTTTTAAACCTGGGGGTGTTGTGGTGGCTCAAGTGAGGAAGGGAATAGCTGGGCCAAGAGGAGGGAGTATGTTTTTCTCTGTTACATGAGAACTTCTGTGGAGCTGTAACAATTTACACCAGCTGAACAGGCAGGCTGTACCAGGTTGTGCACAACATATTCCAGCTATACACCCCTGAAGGAAGCCTTTTATCCTGGAATAATTCCTGCATATAAACACATGCACAGGGAAAACTGAAGGTTCAAGTTAAATGACATGGAAAGAAACCACTCTGCCACCACTGGAACATTTCCCTTATCTTCAAAGTATGTTTCTCCTTGCCATGACTTTCAGTCAAAAGCTGGCAAGGGTTACACAGTGATGGCTTGAGGGTGCTGGAACTGCCTAGCTCAGAGGTCTGGGTAATGAACTGAACATCCCTAACAGGGGAGCTGGCCTTTTCTGTAGGCACTTGCTGGCTCTGCTCCATGCTGTTGCAGTCTCCAGCCCCTTGGCCAGCAGGAGCTGGCTGCAGCCTGCCAGCAGAACCTGTGGCCATGTATACTTGCTAACGTTGTAGTGTGGATTTGACTGATGTGGAGTACCCTCACAGTGTGCTAAAAGCAAGTCCAGAGGTGAGGGGCTGCATCCTGCTCCTGCTTCTGTGAGTGCCAAGCCAGGGCTACTCCCATAACTCGCTGTTGCATGAATTGTGCTGTAAGGCTGGGTTCTCCCCAAAGACCTAAGGGCTTAGGCAGCCATATCCCCAATTGTATTTTCTTGTTCTTAGGTCCATGTGAAGTCCCCAGCCTAATTTCATGCTTTTCCTATAACACACTACTATATGTACCAAGTAAAGGAGGAGCAGGGACTGCATACCACTTTGACTTTGAGGCACTGCAACAGAAGAGGTGTGACATTTTCCCCTAGACCCACACCAAATAAATCTCACATGTACAGCTCCCAAGCATGCAACTGCTCCTTTGTTTTATACTGGCCTTCTATAATAACAGTGTTAGTCGCCAAATAATTTACTCTACTTCAAGACAAGTTCCCTTTCCTTCCTAATTAATCTGTCTGGGCTATCACAGACACTTCCATGAGAGCTGGCCTTGTGGGTGGTCTATACTGGAGGACATTATAAAAGGCCTCTGTTGTAATCTCTATTCTGCCACTCAACTGGGTGACTGTGGGGCAAATCTGTTCGTCTGCCATTTTTCTTCTGTCTTATCTGTCATATAAGATCTTTGCAGTATCAGACTCCTCACTGAAAGGACAGGTTTTCAAGTGCCTCTAGAAACTTAACAGTGCAAATCCTTTGGAAACTGGTGGTCTACATCTGGAAAGCCCACCTGGCCCTCTGTAGTACTGTGTTGCAGTAACTGGGGAGGTGGATGTTCTGCTGCATGGGATTGCAGATAAATAGGCATGACTATAAGGGTGAAAATGAGTGTACGGTATCTAGAATTTGTAGAGAGATTTTGTTTCTGTCTGCAAAGGCAAAGTGTGTTCAAGTACATGCCAGATAGGGAAAAAACAGCAAAGAGGACTTATGTCCAGATAGTATGTATTTGACAAACTTTGCCATCTCCCATAGACTTCTCAAATAAGCAGTGCTATTTCAGCTACCAGATAGCCCAAAACTCAAAACTGTGCTAGTTTCCTAGCCTTTTGATTCTGCTACCAGCATCCCATGTACAACTTTGTCATCATCTTCTTCCTATACTAAGGTTTGGGGTTCTTTTTTGTTTGTTTTGTTTTGTTTTGTTTCGTTGTTTTTGTTTGTTTGTTTGTTTGTTTTTTTGTTTGTTTTTTTGTTTGTTTGTTTGTTTGTTTGTTTTCTGATGTATCTGGTGGTCAGGTAGACTCATCCATGTTCTTGCTAATGTGATATGGTTCATTTATACAGTGAGTAACTCACTGATTTTCATCATGCTGATAAATAGCTTCATATACCAGACTTTGTTTTCATGTCTCAAATCAATACGACACCTTGTTCAGCAAAACTCTTAAGCGCATGCTTAACTTTATGCATGTGCTGGATGCGTTGATAGGAGTCTAGCACATGCTGAAGATAACTTTTGCTGGGATTAGCATAAGCATATGCTTGAACAATTTACTGAGTCGGGACTTTAGTTCCTTGGGTTTACATCTCACAAAATTTCCTTGACTCATTTCTCTTCATTTAACTGGGACCAGCATGTGGCCCAAAGGATGAGTGTAGTTTGGCTGAAATTCTTTTTCTCTTGGCATGGCTCTTATTTAAAGTCCAGTGATACCTGTAAAACATATGTTCTCATTTTCAGAATCCTTGGAGTCTAGGAAAAACATCTGTTTTCCACATCAGTCCTGAGTCTATGCAGTGCCAACTGAACACACAACAAAAATCAAAAGGAGAGAAGAGGCAGAGTGACCCTGACTAAACTGATAGGAATTCAGTGCAAAAGAGGCCGTTTGCTTCTGTCTGAACGGATGCAACCACTCCAGCACTGACAGCATGCTTGTTCATTACTAGTCAAAGACTTCAACACCAGAACTGGCTATATAAACACTGATATCAAATAGCCACGCACATGACAGCTGTAACTCACATGGTGTGCTTGCCTTCATAAATGGGCTTTGCATTGCCTTTGCCTCTCTCACCCCAAATAATGGGGTCAATAAAGGCAAGTAGAAATGAACTCCATACTTCTGCTGTGTCCTTCCTACTTTCCTATACTTTTTAACCATTTAGCAAATCAGTTCTTCCCTGAAAGTCATTTTTGTATCCAAGAGTAACCCTTACTCCAACAGCAATTCTAACAAGGTATTGCTAGAAGCTTGTCAGGGTTCTTTCTGAGGAGAAGAAAGAGGAGAAAATTGAGAAACAAAAGGATAAATCATCTATCTGAAATCAACATTAAAGAATAGAGGTGAAAACTGATTGCACTTTTATTACTGGAATTTGTTTTCCAGCTAGATCTCTTCCTTGCTCAGTTACAGATATCTGCTATTATATTTGCCCCATTCATTGAAACTAATATAATTTTTTTTTCTTTTTTTTTTTCTTTTTTTTTTTTTTTTCTTTTTTTATTAGATTATTGGGTTCAAAGCCTCAGCTAACCTAAACCCATTCTCTAAGGGATAACTAGAACAATTAACATCTGGAAAGTAATGAAATGTCAGCTTCTAGTGATTACAAGCTGACCTCTGATTAATAATATATTTGGTTTAAAATCACAGTAGTACTTTTTTTCTATAAGTAACATTATTTAATGCAGTTTGGCTTATTTTTTTGTTTCTTTTTTTTTTGTTTTTGTGTGTTTTTTTTTTTTTTTTTTTTTTTTTTGTTATCCAGCTGTAATTAATAGTAGCATGCTGTTGGATCTACTATTATCCCAGTGCTCAAAGAAGCAAACCTTTTGGCTGGCAGAGAGCAGACAAAACTCATTTCATATACGGAAAGCAAATAAAACTTCTTATAGAAGAAACGTTTTTTTGTTGTTTTTTCAGCTTTTTTTCTTTTTTCTCTTTTCTTTTCTGTGTGTGTGTGTTTTTCTCATGGGGTGGGTATGGTGGGAGTGCCATTACAGGGCTTTTTGATCTGGGGATTCTACAACAAGCGACCAGAGGGACTTCTGCAATTCTTGCAAATCATATATCCAGTCATTATAATGCAGTGCACAAAAAAGCCAGGACAATTGAGGGCTAGAAGGTTTTGCAAAATACTATGGGACAGTCATCATTGTAACTGTACAAAACTTGCTCTCAACGTAACATAACATAAAGGCACCATTGATATCTTTCCCCATTTTTGAAATACTGTAAAAAATTGCTACATATGGCACATAACACATTTGTACATACGTATATTTAATTTATAAAAGTTTTTTTTCCTCTCCTGTTTTCTATCAGCGGAATTGCTAAAATAAAATAAATTGTTTAATTTAAAGGTGGAATACTTCATTATATAAAATAAAGTTTTACATGTGAATCTATGTGTTTTATGTTTTATACAGCAATAGGGTCTTGGTTAGCTATCACACTGGACAACCTTGCTTGCAATTCTTCTGGTGTGGAGAAACGATTCGCTGGGTTAGTCCTGCTTTCAGTCAGCCGGTAGGTAGCAGATGGTTCCAGACTAGTTGCCACAGGATTCGGTATGCTCAGGAATGGTGTATCCTCGCCTATTCTTTCATCTTCGGTTTCGGTCTCAGAGCTGCTGCTCTCAGAGCTCGTGTCGGAGTCCACTTCCACCCTGCTGGAAATGAGGCCATTAGGCTTTGTTCTTTTGACCCTCCGGCTGTTGGTGAGTTTCTTTGGAGATTCCTGTGCTGGTTCATACTCCTGCGTGGTCTCGTACTCCTCATCCTCCACTATCCGCAGAGGACTTGGCGGCAGGCTGTTGCTCTCATGGGCAGCATTGTGGTGGAAGGAGTTGAACTGCTGAAGGTGGTGGTCATACTTCTCACGTAGCTGTGGTGGGGTCACCAGGAGCAGCGGTCGCTCCTCTTCTATGAAGGGACTCACCGCCACTGAGGGGACGGAGACGGTCAAGCTAGAAGCCGGTGGTGACATTTTGGAGGGGTGGGACTTGGGAGAAGTCGGAGTGTGGAAATCGACAGGGGACATGCGAGCTGGTGTGGTCATAGCTGAGACATACCTGAAGAAAAGAGATGGGGAAAGGTTGCGAACGCTGGAGGGGGGGTGACATGTGAACACAGCTGCTCACGTGCACTGGGAGGGAAAAGGCAGGGATCTCTTAAGGTCCCCAGCATCCTCACACAGGGCTACCAGGGAAACATTCCTGTTATTATTATTCCTATAAAATCACTGACTTCTGGGACTCTGGGCAAAAATGTTTGAGAGCAGGAGGAGCACAGCAAAGACCCCAGGTCTGTTGGCCTCAGAAGAGCTGTGGGGATGTAAATTATTTGCCAGAATAACCTCCTGGAATTAATCCAAGAATGGGATTCAGAGACTGGGGGGATGCCAGAAACAAAATGCATTTGCAAGTATTGTCTCAAAAGGAAAACGACTGCTGCACTTCTGGCAGGATTTGACCAGAACTTGGGGTATGCGCAGAGAGAAGAGAAAGGAAGGAAACTGAGGGACAGTTCTCTCGGGGATTCACCCTGTTCCAGCAACCAGACTGTCTCAGGCTAAGGAGGAAAGCAAAGTCTGGACAAAATCTAGAGCCAGATTCTGCTAATTTTAATCATTGAGGGCAGTCAGAGGAGGATTTGCAGCACTGTCCCAGCAGCTTTGTGCTGCTCCACTCCTTCTGTGCTAGTTACCCTGGCTGGTAGATCTTTCTGCAAAGAAACATGGAGTGTTATTTGTCCTTATGTGGGAACAAATGCTGACAGAGAGGACTGTCTGGCCTAGCGTTCATGATTACTCTGCAAAATTTGCATTTATTCCTTTATAAGTTTCTCTGGGAAGGATAACGGTCAAAGGTGATTTCTGAAAATGAAGCTTAGGTGCCAGTAGAGAGCTTGTCCCACAGGAAGAGGACAAAAAAATGTGAGACTTTCAGCTAGTTTGAATAAGTGAAGCTCCATGGGATGCTATGAGGTCATGGCAGATTCATGCCAGGTGAGGATCTGCCTGAAACCTCTTGATCAAAGGCAGAGTGCCCAGCATGATATTTTGTGTAGTTTGGATTTGCTTTTGTTTTTATCCTAAGCTCACCTGCCTGAATTTCATCTTTGTCCAACTTTAAAATCTTTCTCATCTCCATCTCTCATACAGGCCCATTGAGACAAGTTATGTGGCTATGACTGTTGAAGTTATTTAGTTTTCAGTAGTGATTTATTTATCTGAGTATGAAATTACCAAAATAAATCATAATCCAGCTTTCTTATCCAATCTATGACTTGGTTACACATTTTACACTTGATCAAAACAGAGTTATTGGACAAAAGAGAAACTGGGACAGATCCTGAATTAATGTGTAGTAGAGTACATCAGTTTTGGCAGAGGCATATTGATTTAAATCAAGTGAGGAGCAGAAGAAAGAAAAACAAAACTGGAGTTATGCATAGGAAATAACCAAGTCGGTTGCTAGTGTGAGCAGAGGGCAACTAATAGGTCTGTGCATTGGAGGAATGAAGTAATTCTTTATTTTTCCTTCCATGAGTGAGATTTTCAGCCCTTTCACATTTTTAAATAGTCATTTTCTGAAAGACCGAAGCCTTTCTACTTCCCCAGCTGGTACAGTGTTTGATGTACATCTTGTTGACACACTGGATTTTAGCCAAATTGGTTCAGTTAACGCACTACGTTAGTTAAATGTGTTCAGTGTACTGTGCATGCTTCCATCAGTGGCAAGTTACTCATACAGGGGTGCTGCGCATTCACGCATTACTGGTGTATTCCCCTACACCATAACGGGGCAGTGCTAACAAGCTTCTGTCCATGAGCTGAGGCACAGGAGCAGAGCACATGCAGCTCTAACCCATCCTGAAAGGAAGGTTGAAAGGCGATAGATTTATCCAGGTTCATGGCCAACAAGAGGTAAACCATGATGACTCAGTGAAAGCAGATCAGAGTGTATCCACGGCCAGTCAACAAGTATTAACTTGGTACATGCTGTCAACTTCATCATATAGTTTAGCCTTTTGTGCAGAGATGGTGTTTTGTTCTTCCCTCCTGTAAGATAGCTAAGGAGTTTAAAAAATATGGGTGCTTGAGCCCTCTGCTCATGTAAACAGGTGTCAGGGCATGGGGGCCAACAAAGGAATGGGGTAATGCAAAAGAAATCCTCATAATGCCTATGCAATTTATTTTCAAAATGGTGAAGTTGATGGAGGACTGGAGCGTGGAGGCAGCACAGCCTCGATCTACCAACTCACAGCACTACCACATTTGATGGCTTTAGGAAGTAATTCTTCAGCTTGTACATTCCTTTGTGTTGCAGAATAATTTTTAGTCACAAATAACTCTAATTTTCCCCTTTACATACACACATACATGAAATTCAACTCAGAAAAAATCTGCCACGTATTACCTGCTTGCTAAAAATAGATGGCACCTAATTTAATGCCCAGGGAACTATGTTTTGCATTCCAAATTCACAGTTGTTTCAGGCACAGGTTAGACCATCAATGCCTGGTGAATTATCACAGAAATGTTACTGCTTTTCACCTGTGGCATAATCTTCAAGAAACACAATAGCTGATGATTACGGCTATAGATCCTGATCCAGCAAAGCACTTAAGCACATGCTGAGCTCTACCCATGTGAGCAATCTCGCTGATTTCAAGGGGGCTACTTGCATGATTAAAAGTTAATCTTGTTGAAGTGCTCTGCTGGATTGGGGCCATTGCAGTTTATGTCTTGTGAGCCACATTTCTTGAAATTAAATTCTATGGTAAGTAACAGATAACTTTGTTATAAGAAGAGAGCCAGTTCACTATCCTTAGCGGTCCTACAGGCCTTGTTCAGAAATGTCTCAGTTGTGGTGCCTTACCCTGGTGCTAAGCAATTGTTTGTGTAGCAGAGGGAATACCACAGAAATGGCTTCTGCTGTACTTGCACATCCATTTTTCTGGAAACCACAATTTGTCTTCTATACAACTTGCTCTCCTTGGGGATTGCCTGGCTGTATTTTTGACATCATGGACATTCCATGAGATCAAAACCCTTGTGATTTCACAACACTCAGAAAATTGGTCCAGTAACCCTTTGTTTTCCTTTATTTCTGCCTCTGATTGTTGGAGCACAGCTCTCTTTTTAGTCTTGTTTTTTCTCAGTCTTTCTTTTGCTGCCCTGGGGCCATCCCATGCTCTTGAGGTAAAATCCTAACCTAAAGCTGAGAAGGCCTTTTCAGTGAAAATTTTCTTGCAACAGATGCACTTCAAGGTAGACCTTAGGTACTGATGAACCAGCCTTTTCAGAGAAAAAAATACTTTGTTGGAAAACTTCTGACTGGCTTTATTGCTAACTACTCCTGATTTAATAATGACCTGAGTTCTTCTGTTTTGCACTGTGTGTTCCTTGATTTTATTTAAAAAGCGTCAAGGGGAATTTTTGAAGGAGATAACAGGTTTAGATGCTGGAATTCCCCAGAAAGTAGGTGGCATCAGAATTCCTACAGTGCCTATGAGTCCTTAGTGCCCTTTTCCTGTGGATCAATACATTGCTTTCTCCCTATCTTTTGTGTCTCAAAAAATCCCTCAGTTTTCTCTCTTGCTTCTCCTAAGAAACTGATAATTAGGCAAAGATTTGTTTTTACTTTACAATGGAAATTTGACATATGACTTCATTGGAGCTTATTCAAATATGAACTGCTGGCTATTAGGAATAAATCCAGCAGAGGCAAGAAGGGAAGAAATGCTTTCGGTAGACTTCAAACTACTACCAAGCTTTCCACCTTTACGAATGAGGAGATGTACACCCTACATGAACAGCTGCACTGTTATGTTTCTTCCTGTGTTTCCAACCTTTGAGACCATCTGGGAATACCAGGCCTTTTCAGCTGAAAGCGATGAGGTGCTGTGTCCTACCTTTCACTGTGAGGAGAGTCTCGGTAGGAGTCAGGGGTCTCTCTCGCATGCCGGAGGAAGCTGTTGCCTTCCCGTGGCCCACTGATGCCATTGAGGCGGCCCCGAGGCCCTGCTGGGCTGGTGTGTCTGCTGTTCTCCATGGAGGAGCTTACGAGCACCGAGTGGCTTTCAGAGAGGATGCTTTCAGTGTGGACATTGCTCCAGCTGGAAAGCAGTAACCAGGAAAGGAGAATAAATGAGGAGAGTGTGAGAGGGTGCTTCAGTGGCAAATGCAAATGGGCAGAAGTTTAGACAGGGGAAAGGAAGCGCTCTGTTGCTGCTTGGGATGTGCAGGGTAACCTTCAGGTTGGTAACTGGGGCTGCGGTTTTGTGAATTTTATGAATCCACATGCATCAAGATGATTTTGCATGTGTGGATAAAAGGAGAGGGAAGGAAGGCTTTCCAGTCACCAGCACTGTCACTGATTTAGCAATCTGCATATATTAAAATTCACAGTAACAGTATTGGAATGCCATTCAGTCAATAAAGCTAATTGTAAATTCCTGGAAAGATAATTAGTTAGATGACATGGCATTAAATATGGTTAGTCTTAAAACAAAAACACTATGAAGGGAGCATAGATTTTTATGGGTTTGTTTTTTTTACACTTCTTTTTGGTTTTGCAATGGCAACAGTTCATATATTAGAGATGCTGTTTGCTTTTCCTCTCCAGTACCTGTGGCTGGGTGTCTGGGTGACTGTCATGGAGTGATGTGTTGTTGAGGTGTAGTGGCTCGTAGAAAATGAGGTCTCTGTTTCTCGTTCAATGACATGCTCACTGGAGATTACATTTTTTGAAACGTACTGCTGAAAAAAAAAAAACAAAAACGACAAACCTCAGGTTTACAAACTGTAATTCACAGCACATTTGCAGACATAATTTCCAATCCCTCCCCCTTCCCCACCAAGTCACAGTTTTTCACATGTGCCAAAGCACAACTTTGTCACTTAAATACAGGCAGAAATCACATTGACACACTTGAGCACATTCATTTATACCTCAGCATACATAATCCATCTAAACTCAAAGTAGGAGGAAACAAATGAGGAAATTAGCAAAGGTCTGCATCTCAACCAGGCTATAAACAACATACATATTTAACAAAGAAATGCAAAGTCCTCATGGATAGAGACCTGAAAAGACAGCCCCCCCTTTACTACCAGAAATATCAAAAATACTATTCTACCCATGTGAGAGACAGCAGCAATTAACAGTAGCAATTGCTCATAGCAGGATAACAATCTGGGCAGGAAATTGCTATTTTCAGTGCCCATGGATGCAGGACAAGGGCAGACCTATTCATCCAGGGATGATCTGCAGCATGGGTCAAAGTCTCCTGAGATGGGCCTGGAGGTGTGCAGTGCCCTCCTGCACAGCTTTCATCTGGAGCCCCCTCCAGTGCTGTCGCTGCTAGGAGTCTCCTTTCTCTTCAGTGGGGAATCCTGGTTTCCCCTCTCTTAACAATCTGACCGTGGATTTAGGTCTTTTGAGGGGAAATATTGGAAGGTGAGCTCTTCTGGAAATGTGTCTTGGCCTTCATCAAGGTCAGTGGGAGTGCTCCATTGACTTAACAGAGCCAGGGCTCACCCCTGCAATGATCTGTCATGAATATATACATTGATGATGGAGCAGGAGAGCAGGGATGGCTCAAGGAGGCAGGAAGCTGATGTTCCCTCTGGGCACCAGGCTTCCCTGGGAAAGGCAGGAGAGGAGGAAGTGGCTATAGGCAGGTTGAGCCCTGGCCTCTAAGGCCAAGGGGCTTGCCCGAGGGTTTAGTTGAAGAGTAACTCTTTGCTCTGCTCTGACAAATGGCTAGGGTATGCTGATGGAGTATCTGCCTGGCCCCATCTCCGCAGCCACTGCTACTGACCAGGTGAGATCTTCATTCAGACTTTTACCCCTGAGTTCATAATGTCACATTCCTGATCTGAGGGGGCTGTCCCTACTCACCAACCATCAGACCAAGGGCAGTAGGAAGAGCAAAATATGTGTTTGAAGAAATGGATCGCTACAGCACTTATCCTGGCTGTAGAGCAATTAGTATTTTTTTTTCTGAGGTGTTTTTTTTTTTTGCTTTTGGAGTTCTAGATCCTCAGACACAGCTGCAGCAAGTCCCAATTAACTGGTCATCTGCAGAAATATAGCTCATTTTATGGCATATTTTTTGCAAAGTCCCTAATTGTTTCTGGGTAGAGAAAGACAGGAGAATTCAGTCACCAGCTTGCAGCAGACAGATGTTTAAAAGCTGTGGGGCAAGCTTTGCCGTGGCACTGGCAGCCTAGGCTGAAACAGGGGCAGTAAAACCTACATTCACCAGCTGGACGTTATCCGGTGGCGGGTTGGGGTGGTGCGGCCCGTTGGCCATGTTCATCACATTGTTCCTTTCCGAGCGCAGGCTCTGCCGAAGGCGGTCGTGCAACTTTTTCCTCTGCTTCCTGTGCATGAAACATGGAAATTATTTTTATAGACAAAGGGAAAGCAGCTGCACCTTTCAGCATGTTGTTGATGATGATAATAATAACAATAATTAATATAACATCACTTTTTTCACTAGCACTTTCCCCACCACTGCAAGATCTCAGAGTAACTCTGAGATTGCAGGTCTAATTGCAGCTGGAGCTGTGGGGACCTGCAGAGGGGGAAGGATGTATGGGAACCCTTCCAGGAGTCAGCAGGCCACAGAGGGACGGGAAATAGTGCGAGAAAGGAGGAAGCCATTCCTAGGCCATGCTCTGTCTCAGGAGGAGCCCTTTTCTGCACTTGGAAGTGAGGGGGGAGAGATTTTAACCTGGCTGTCTTGACACTGTGGCCTCACTGTAGCCATAGCCACGTTCCTGACAGCCTGTTGGGTTACACTTCTCCATTCACCAGAGTGAGCTGAGGTGGCCTCAACTCGGGGCTTGCTGACAGCCATTGGAAAACATGGTGCGTGCTACGATCTTTGTGATATGGCATCTACACATTTTTTTTCATGGGATTTGTCCCCTACCTCAAGAGTGTACTCCAAGTACATAATGTTTTACAGAAGGTGAAGGATACAGAGGAAGCCCCAGAAATCCAAAGTGAGTGAATGTGTTAGGTATGACTGAGCTTGCAGCCATCCTGGCAGCTTTGGAAGGTTTTGTTACAGCAACATCAGATTAACTCTGGAACCTAGTGATTAGCAGGTGGAGGCCATGGTTGCTCATGCATTCAGTAGAATCATCCATCAACCACACATATTAATGGCATGGTCTCTGGCTGACTTGGATGCTCCTTCCCCAATTGCTAATCCTTCCAGCTCTCCTCAAGAGAACTTTTCAGGAGATCATTATAAGCTGTCAGTAACAAAACTTGCAGCATAGTAAAACCTGGTGCTGTGAAGTCCATGCAGAACACACTAAATAGAACACCAAGATAAATAAACAGAGAAAGAGCTATTCAATTTCAGACTTAATTTATCAATATTCCCCATTTTTGTCTGATTACACTGGAGAACTTCCACCATCCTGCCACAGAATCCAGGGAAACGAAGGAAGGATGCAGGCTCCAACACACTGTAGAGTGCATATGACCTTGGCTGTGGCAAAAGCTAAAATACACACAATTCCCTAAGCCGTATGCAGAAATGCAGATAGTTTTGGCAGGGTAAGGCACTGTAAAATATAACCATTTTCAATCCCAGCTTGAACTCCAGGGGTCTATTGCAAGCTTTACAAAATGAAGGGGGAAGGGAAAACAATAATTATGTTGAAGCTTTATAACCAGGGAAGCTTAGAGACAAAGAAAGCATGACTTGACACACTGCATTTTACATATTTTCTTTGTGTGTATGTGTCTGGGTAGTGGAAGATGTTTAATTTATGTCACTCCACATGAATGGTATAAGCAGATATGGTTGCTTTGAAAATGCTCCTGTCTCAGCAGGACACAGTCCCTGGTCCATGTGGACTTTGTGTTTGGAGGATAACCAGGCATCATCTTAGGACACACAGGTGGTTAAGGGTGATGGAGAGTGCAGTGCCAGGAGATATATGAGCAGCCACGCAAATACCTGTTTGGGCTGAGAAGCAACACAGACGAGGGTTTAACTTGATTTTACAGTACCCCTTCATGAGACCTTGGAGACCTTGGAAGCTAAGGACATCTTGAGCTGCCTGACATGGTAGGGAAAGTGGGCTCTAGAGGGAGTTGGAGCTCATCATCTATGGGTCTGAAATCCTGTCACATATTGCATGGGAATCTATCCCCAGGAAACTACATTACTTCCCACATTCAGTGATCAATGGGTTTGCATTTTGTATGCTTCCATGCGTGCTGTTTGTCCTCTAGTAAAAGGACACTAACTAAAAAAACAAATTACTCCAGGAAACTGAGAAGAAAGAATAATGGGAAAGCTAATGTGTACTTCACTTATTCTGAGAAGCCTTTCCATTAATGTAAATGACTTGCAAATAAAGCATGTCTGAATTAAGACTCAGTGTCAGAGCATACTGCCTTAGCATTTGACTAGCAGTATCTCTTGCAAGGAGACCAACAAAATCTAAGCCATTACATTTTATTTAGTATGTTCTCCTAACACCATTTCAGGATTTCCCCCACTTTCTGGGTTTACCCCTATTAGGAGGAAGAGCATGCAGGGAACACATCACAAATAGCAGTTTGGCATCACTGCTGCATTTGAAAGGCCATGAACATTTTGCTTCTGGATGGCAGTGATTTCTGATGTCTGGGACAAATCGTGACAAAGCTTGGAGACCCCTGATGGATTCTGGTTGCTCTTTATATGGAAAACTGTACTTCAGGACCCTGAATAAATCTTCATTGAAATTTCCATGAAATATTGAAAGATATTGTTTAGCTGCCCCAGCTTGCCAACTGTAATTTCTAAAAGCAGTAATTGATCTCATTCTTTATTACTGTTTCATTTGTTCCCCACTGACCACAGGCGCAAGGTTGTGGATGGGAGCAGCGTGTGTGTGTGTGTGTGTGTGTGTGTATGTGGCTGGACTCTCACTGAGGGATGCAAATGATTGCCCTCTTCCCTCCCTTTTAACACATCCATTATTGGTGGGGCTTACAAATAAAACCAACAACCCAACTGCCAATCAGGCCCTGCAACAGTAAATCAGGTTTATACAAATGTGGAAGATTTATGATATGGGTATTCTGTGTTTTGGTGGGGAGATTTATAAGAGCAGCCAGAAGTTTTGGCAGCACAAATCCTACTGATGTTCAGTGTAATTTATGGCCCAGAGTTCCTCATGCATGTTTGAGAGTCACCTCCAGTAATTTACAGAGACTTAGAGAATGCATTTAAGTGCCTACTTTTGCAGTGAGAACACTTTCACATTCAGTTCTTTGGCCTTTGGTGTTTAGTAACTTTTAGCACCATTAATCTTGCCTCAAGTACAAACAAACTAGGTTGATACCTAAAATTTACTGCTGAAGTCCAACATGATTCCAGTGTCAGGGTTTGTTCCTTTCCAGCTGGGGAGGCCAGCTGGAATGAGTGATAGACAACGATTTGCAAGTCAGTGAAGTTTGTTCAAGTCACATTTAAAGGGTGAGAAACCTTTCAGATACCTGTCTTATTTTTGCACTGTTGATAGACATGGAGACCTGCACCCATCTGGCCTGGACCAGAGCATCCTGGCCACAGGTTTGACTCTTCAGTTCAGCTCTGGAGAAACCCAGATACAACCTTATGCTCAGAGGAATAGAAGCTACAATCAGCTGGGAAGGCCCTGACCAGCAACCACAGATATAAAAAAGAAGAGAAAAGTTTACTTGGTTTTGCAGTAGGCCACCACACACATGATGCCAACTACTAGAAGAGCAATGCAAATGCCAGTTATGGTCAGCACCCGTTTCTGGTACAGTTCCTCAGCTTCTAGAAAGGGACAAAAACAGAGAAGGTCACAACATGGAGGATGGCTAGGCAAGGAGCACACAGTCAACAGCTGGCATGCTACAAACCACTGCACAGATTCACACAGCCACACCGAAACACAGCCACTGCACTTCAAGCAGACTCATTATTGACTGAAAGGAGAACAGGACTATATCATAAGCTCTTAACACAGTACTGGGGATGAATGAACACCTGTACAATTACAGTCAAAAGTAATATTTTTTTTTTAATTCAACAAGGATAATATCTAAGAAACAACTTTACAATTAACACTCAACATTTGCTGGAATTAAAAATGTAATGCACTAAGGTAATAACATGAATTTGCAAATGCTTTGGAAGTTTTACTCTGAAAAGACAGCTGGAATGAAGACCAATTTTACAGGCCTTATGAGAAATTTATTTACTTATTAACTTTTTTGGATTGTTTTTATATCCAATGTCCCCTTGCCCCCATGTCAATTTATATCTCAGTTGTCTTTACAGGAGAGATTTCAAGTATCTTTCTACATTTGAGACATGAGCTTGGCTTGTAATTATATCATCATCAATGGAAATGAAGACAGGTTTTGAGCTCTGCTCATAAAATTCAGACTCCTTCTCCAGTGCTCCTCCAAAACCAGAGCAATACCAACAACTAGCAGTGCCTTGTGTCAGAGAAATGTCTATTTGTGTCCAACAAAGGAATTACTCTAGCTAGAGTGGCAGCTTGCTCAGTGATGACAACTTGTTACAGATCTCATTTATTGGAGATATTTCATTATTATAAAGACATTAGTAGCACTGGTAATGTTTGGGTTGGAGCTACCCATGCATTCCAGGCTTGCTCATGCTTGGCAGAGAGCATCATTGTATGCTGGGCTGGGAAAACGTTTATGTAAGGACCATTGAAACAGAGGCGCATTCTGTGTTGACACTTTATGGATGTGCATTTGCATTCCTGCTTTTAGGACAAAAATGGGTGTCTAGTGTTTCTCAAGTCTTATTTTTGATTAAATAGACAGTCTAGAAAACTTGCCCTGGAGGATCCAGACTGGAGGGTGGCCTTAGGTCAGACTGCAATATTGACCACAGTCAGAGTACCAGCAGGTGATTAAAAATAAATGAATGAATAAAAGCTGCACAGCCCTGCACTACCTTTGGGAGAAATGCCTGTATTATTCCTGCTGGAAGGGACTTACATGAACATAAAAGGTCTGTGGGGCAATTCATCAGGAGGTACAGATATGCACAACAGTCTCTCACATGTGCAATGAGTCTCTGTCCAAGCTTAGGCACTTTAATGATGTGCTGACATAAATGCCACATTAGTTCAGGAGAAAATGCTCCCTGCTGAAGAGAAAGCAGTCATTCCTCCAATGTGTTTCCCAGGCTTATCTAGTTTAGTTTTAAAGTTGCTGTGGGTAAGTGGCAAATATTCCATGTAACAAATCACAAAGCAAAAATAAATCTTAATTTCTCTGATACAATGCACCTTACCATGGAACAAATTTGTTCTACAAGCCAAACACACTGTAAACCAAGACACCAGCAAACAAGTCATGAGCACTGTCAGACAAAACTAATAGCACTGATTATTAACAAAGGGGAGGGGGATAAGAAGTGAGTTTGGTAAAATTAGGATGCTGCAAAAATGTATTAAAGAAAACAAAAATATAACTCCAGGAAGAGAAAGTCAAAAAAGGGAAGGAAGAAAGGGCTGACACTCCAAACCAAACCAGGACAAAGAGAAAAAGAGGAGGGTGAAATATAGGGAAAGACAAGGTTAAAGGGTTGAGAAGTCAACTGCAGGCCTGGCACAGCATGCTTGATACTGGAAAAAAACAGAGTGAAGAAATGCTTGGGGACAAAAAAAAAGGCTGAAGCAGAGTGTGAAGGGATTTCTCATACAGCATAACTCCTTGCCTAGGCTAGTTAGTGGCACTCGATCCCCTTGCCATTTGCCACTTCTGAAAGCGCTTATTAGTTAGCCATGAAATGGTGTATTACGAGGATGTCATAGGAAACAGGAGAATTGTGCTAAGCAATTTATGGGCAAATTTGAGTGCTTTGATTTTTTTTTTTTTTTTTTGGTCATGCTGTCAGCTGTTAGCTTGTGAAAGCAAAATGAGTAAGGACACATCAACCCATTTTTCTTCGAGGGAAAGCGAGAGGAGGAAGAAGATTAATTAACATTGGAAGCTCTGATTGGTTGTTTATACTAAGGCAAAAATTGCATTGAGTCCAGGATGTTTACTCCAGGCTGAGGCTCTTGCAAATGAGCTGGACAGCTGGCCGGTGATGGCCTTACTAAGTCTGCCAGTGGGTTGAAGCTTGTCGCTTGTGTGTTGGACACTCCTGGGCTCTCACTCACCACAGGGGAGTGGGTGCAGTGAGGGAGCAGGGCTGTGGGTGCAGCCCTGAGCAATGCTCCTCGCACCGATATGTCTGCTGGGCCTGTAGGTCTTGAGGGGCATGGAAAGGTAAACTCCTGCATCTGCTTTTATTGCCTTAATTCCCTCCTGTGGCCTTTGAAACAAGGCCTTTAGGCTGATCAAGCCTGACATGGTGTGCATGAATGGTGGTGTTGCCATGTCCTCCCTCAAGCCATGGGGGTGATGGCTGACTGGGAAGGCACATGCGTCTGAGCATGTCTTGCCCAGCAAACCAGCAGGCCCCCATGTAAACCTGGCCATGCTCCTGGCTGACAGGGTCTCCCTGCCTGGGACAGCAGAATCCAGCTGGGGGACGCCTGGGTGTCCTGTGGGGGATACTGCGAGTGGCAGGGGATGGGGGCAGCCAGGTTGGACCAGGGTTCCTGGCCACAGCTCTTCAGGTGGCATGGTGCCCTGGGAATGAGCCTTAGCCTCTCTGCCTAAGGCTGGAAGAGTTTTGTGAAGCAGAGACCAAACTCCTGCAGGGCATTTGTGGTTATAGTGCATCTCACCCCAAAATCGCCCTCTCTCTCAGACCAGTGGTAACATTTACAGAGCCATTTAATATCACCCAGCCAAATAACACGTTCTGTGTTTGCAGTGCTCATCAAACTAGATTGAAAAAAATTAACAGCAGCCTTGGGGAAAAGTCCATAGAGAAATATATATGCAGTAAGAATTTAGAAAAGGTTTTAGCCTGTTAAGTATTAAAATTCATTTGAATAATTTTATTTTTTTTCCCCTACAGAATGGTAGGAAAAATCAAATCAACATGAGACTTAAGTCAAGATATTAAATCCCTCTATGTGCAGCCTTTCAAACATGCACATTATGCAAATATTTCATATCACCCTCATTTATACATATTTGATGATATATATGGTCTTAAATTTGCTCTGTTTAAAATTTTTTCTTCTTACAGGTCCCTGGGGATTTTAAAAATAATTTCATTGCAAGAGATGGTTCCACTGATGTAATTTCATATATAAGTCAAAATTTGCAAGTCAGTTTTTAAAAGGATTTTAATTTAATTCCTCATATCTTAATGTAGCCATATATCTTCTACTACAGTCTAGTACTTATGAGTGAGAATTAATATTACCTTGTGATAATAATAATAAACTGGGTTGTAAGAGATTTTTAAAATTTGGACTTGTAATGGGTTTTCCACAGTTCGCATCTTAAGCTAATGACATTTGGGGGGAGGCATTTTAAGAAAATTGTGAACTGAAACTGTGTGAAAAGCATCACTGTCTTGTTCTTCTCATTTGCTGACAATTTGAGGAGATTCCAAACAAAAAGTGACCTGAATTCCAAGTTAGCCTATTCAAGAGACACATTATTTGTACCCCTGATTACTAAATGTTAGTCAGATAAGTACTGAAGAGGACTTATAAGATCTATTTCTACTATATTTAAGCTGAAGTGTAACAATAGTATCCACTATTCGTTTGGTACAATATGAGTTTGGTACTAGAAATATTGAATGCATTTGCTGACTTGAGGATGTGGAGTCTAGCTGTAAACCTCTACTTCAGTTCCTAAATAACTTTCAGTTCCCTTCTAATTTACAGACCTAGACATGAATGTATATGTGCATCATTTACATATATGTATATACATTCAATTTACATACCTAGCTGTGGGTTTAGACAAAAAACTTTGCTTGAAAACCAGAGGTCAAAACTGTAAATTTTCAGAATTGTAAGTGGCTATAACATCTTATCTTTTTTTATAGACTAGTCAGTAATTTCCCTCAATGCTTACAGTGTTTCCAAAATCCAGCAACCCTAGAAGAAATTAGTAAAAGCAAATATCAAAACTAGTCAAAATTACACAGCAGAAAAATGAATACACTGTGTTATGATTACTTCAGTAATTCCTAGAACTCCTTAGGTCTGGAATATCCTATCACTATTACCATTTTAGTGAGCTGGTCTTCACTAACATTTTGACAAGGGTTGTTGTTATAGCTGTATGATCCCTTCTAAAGCATAAAGAAATTGGTTAGGAATTGAAAAGGGGAGGTGGAGAAAAAAAATAAAAAGGAGTTTATCTCTTAGGCTCTAAAATCTGCAGGCTAAAAGGAATGATTGGTCCATACCCATAAATTCAATCCCAAGATGCTCTGCCAATGCAGAAAGTTGACAAAAAAAAAGAAAGAAAAAGGAAAAAGTTTCAGAAAAGAACAATACACTGTACTCAAAAATAAATCACATATGAGAATTACAGCTATTCTGTGTCTGCATATGAAACAGGACAAAGGGGTGTATCATTACATGGGCAGTATTCAAGTGCACCTCTGTGAGCTACATGACCAGACCTTCTGCAAGGGTTACACACCAAATATATATGGGGGATCTGAACAGCCACAGTGCAAGGAATGTGGCAGGAATCATCAACCCTCAAAGATTTTACTGAGGTGAAGGGGGCTATGGCCTAAGGATGCCACATGAAATGGCTGATTATTTTCAGATGGGACCATGAGAGCACAGAGGTGCATTACAAGGGGCAGCATCCCCTGCAAACATATCGTGCATTGCCCTCCCTTCTGGCCCTGTTCCTGTCCCCAGTATGCGGCTCCTTGCTCCTATGGGTTGCAACCTGAAGGTGGCTGGGACTGTTTGCTCAGCAGTGGGAGCCCTTCTCAGCTTTGCAAATTGACTGCTGCAGGGCTCTCATTTCTGGAAAATGATGAGCCAACACCTTTTTTCCTGCCTTTGGACTGTGCTGCCTTGGCAGGACCACTGGCTGGCCAGCTAGATGCACCCTAGAGTGCAGGGGCTCATGCCGTATACACGGATAATATGCTTAAATTAGCACCCCCAGTGTCCAGCAGCTGGGGGTGAGGAATAACACAGGTTTTCCGCCAGCAGGTACCCTAAGAGACCCTTCCCAGGGGGCCAACACCATAACCATAGTAGCTCACTTTCTTTGGTCTTGTGTGCTGTGAAGTGTAAATCCAAGCCCAGTTTTCTGACCAAATGAATTTTTTACGTAGTTTATACGTATGGGGAATGCCGATCATTTCCTGCTAATCAGTAACATTTTAAGGGTTAAGTAAGTTGGAATCCACCCAGGTCTCTTCCTAAAGAGCCAATATTACGTGCCTACATGAACACTGCTAACAATACACATTAGTTGCATAGAAAGCTTGGTTAAGTCTTCAATAAAATGAATGACATGCCCATGCATATATATTGCTGTATTTATGCTTGTTTATAGGTAAGATGCCTAGCCTGGATGTAAATTAATTTTAGGGGAAGTCATTCATATCATGCAGTTTCTATTTCAAATAATTCAATGGGAAGTTGGTACTTAAAATAGGAATATATTCTTGCTGAAAGCCCTAACAAGAAAACATGCTGAAGAAACATGCATTGCTTATTCAAACCTAGATGTCATGTAGCTCTTGATTATTTTTGTTGTTCCTAGCTACATGCCCTAGACCTGATTAAAACAAAGCAGAATACCTCAACTCTTCTCTTTTTATAAACAGGTCATTCTTTTTGATCTTTTCCTATTTAACTCAATATTGTTGCATACTTTTTACATGCAATGTGGTTACTATTGAATATTTGCCCAGGTGCTCTAAGAAGAAATAAAATTAATTATTTTAACAACTCAGTTTTCATTCTGGATGTGATTTTTGTTGGGACAGTACTGGAAGAAGAAATGATTGAGAAGCAGTTTTTTTCCCCAAAAGTGACTTACAACTACAACTCATTGGATATATTGTAGCACATTGGGGTCCAGGGTCTATAGAACAGAAAATGCTGGAACAGGTCCTCCAGGACTGCATGCTGTGTTCATCAGTGGTATGCCACTATACCACAGCTGCTGGTTATCCAAGATTTTGAGGTGGCTACTCTATAGAGTTAGGTGGGTGGGTGGGTAGCCTGGGGACATGGTGCTGCCCAGTGAGGGGTGAGAACAGTTGCAGGTTTGTGTGGAGACCTTGCATCTGACAAGGGAAGGACCCATTTGGATCAACTGCATGCAGCAGCAGAGAGGTCCAGGGAGACCAATTTAATTTCTGAAGCATCAAGATGCCAAGTCTCTTCAGTCATTGTTTAGTACTAAATGTGTTCTGTGGGTAATGAGAAATTCTAAAAAAGTTTATTTTTCATGTAATTTGAATTGAAATTGAAATAAAATCTCCCAAACTATCATAGGGCAGAACTACGTCAGCCAATTTTGCTTGAGGGGCTGGGATGTTGTGTCTCTTTGTGAGGCTTAGGATTCACTTTGGATCCTAAATCTTGATTCATTTCTGTGGTACTGAGACTGCAAAATCAATTTTGAACTTGTGATGTTAAGTCCTATGGCTGCTGTAAAAGTGTTATCCTACAACTGATTTGAGTCTCATAAGTATCGAAAATGTCCATTCTTAATTAGAGTATTTTATCATAGCAATTTTAGCATTTAATGAACATCAGCTGAGCAGTTTACAGTGAAAAACTGTCTTCTTTAACCTTGAACAGAAGATGGACAATGACATTTTTCAAATCTGTTTGTATCATTTAGGAGTCTTGCTCTCAGCACATAAAGAGTACAATTTAGGGTGCTGAGAGGCCTTAGAAAATGAAAATTTCAAGTGAGCTTGTCTAGTACCCTCATACAGATGTGACCACTTGAGAAACATATAGAAATTGAGAAATACTGAACTAGTAGAATTGCTGAAATATGGACTTATGGGTATCTGTAGTTTATGTGGAAAGACTGAAAGATAGAGGCTGTTACAGAGTAACAGCAATTTTGGTAATTCCTCTAGAATATCATAGCTTTTTTGAACTCTTGCCCCCTTTAATTTCTCAGCCAGGCTCATCTTGGCAATATGAGACAGGGGCTGTCATCTAAACAGAAATTTCTCTCTGTCCTTCTTGATACTGTCCCTCTTGCTTATCATGGATGGCAGAGCTGAAATGGACACTGTTTAAACTGGTGTCCCATGCTGAAATGCTTGCCTTCAGGAACATAGGGACCACATTCAATTCATGCATGACACAGTTCACAGCATGTCCCACATGTTGTTCTATAGTCACAACATATATATATAACTGTTAACTTGTGAAGTAAACAAGTCAAGTTGCCCTTTGGGTGGGGTCCTTGGCCCATTTGGGGCATCTGGGAGGACAAAGAGTTTACCTGTGATTATGCTCTAGAGAAGTTTCCTCAACCTTCTATTAATCCAAGGCTCCACCAGTGTTTCTTATCCTAAGGATCATTCTGCACAGTGTTGCTATAAGAGTTCTCATGCATAGCTACATAAAAATTAGCCAAACCTTTTAATGTTAATTCATTACTTTTATTTTCCTCCATTTGCTTTGCTTCCTTGCTTTCAAGGGAGTGAGTATGTGAACATTCAAATATGGCAAACGTATCTGCAGGGAACAGATGTATTTTTGCAACACTTTTTTGGACCACCTTCTGATGTCTTAGGGACTAATGGTGGACTATGCACCTCAAAGTCAAAACAGCTGCAGCAAAAAGTCAAGGTATTAGGGAAAACACCTGGCAGCAGCTACGACTGCTGTGCTCAAGGAAAGGATATTACAGGGTTGTTTGTTCTTTAGTTTCCCTTGGTCTGCAGTGGTGGTAAGCACCAGCTGAGAAGGAAAAACTACACAGCTGCAATGCTGGAGGTAACTGTAGCAGTGGGGAATCTAACAAACATCACCTCTCAGACACAACAGGTTGTCCTATGGTTTGGTATGTTTACAAAGCTGAAAGCCAAGGGACAGTCAGCCAAAACATGTGCTTTCCAGTAGTCTCCATCGTATCCATTCTCAGTTATGCTCATATTTTCACTGACAGAAAGGAAACACATTTCTACAGAACTTTTCTTAAAATGGAGATCCAGCTAATTTCCTGTGCCCCTTTTTAACCTATTTCTAGTGCACCATGATGACTGAATCCTCCAAGGCTCACCAAACCACTGCCAAGATAAGCCAGTTAGCCTTGCACTCTGTTGGGACAAGGGGTTTTCCAGAATGCTCAGTGTCAGCCTTGTTTTGGTCTTGCAAAAGGCCCTCAGCAAAGCCTGTAGCTTCAGGACACCTTCAAATAGCAACTCTAGGGCAGATTTCTGTAGCTAAATTTGTCTCAACAGCCAAATACAGAACCTTAAGTATTTGGTAACAGACCTCTGATACACAGCCTTAAGTATTTAATAACAGCTCATCAGTAGGCACACTTGGATTGGAACTCCATTGACCCTTTCCAAATGAAGAAAGACCCTTTTGAAAGCAGGTAAAATTAGATAGCACTGTATAGTTCACATGTACACTTTTGTTTCTTACTGGACCTTATGATCTTTAATGTCCCAATTAGCTCTGTACTTTGCAAAAGCTTCACCTACAGAGCTAAGTTAATTACCCGCAACACTTGATGCAAAATATGAGCTCAGCTTTAAGGCCCAAGTGCAACATTTGCCTAAAGATAACTCTAATTTTAAGTGTCCTTTTTATTTTTTTGCTCTGGTCTGCACTGTGTGTAATAATAAAAGGTCATACAAATGCTTCTTCATTTTTTTTTTTTTTTTTGTTAAATATAAATATATCCTCACTGGACCCTTTCCAAAAGTGCCATTTCAAGATTTGTAGAAGTTTAAGAAACCTGATATTATACTGAAGCTGCAAGGTAGACAAAAATGCCAGAGTCTCATAGACATTACCTGGGGCTCTCAGAGTAGCCTGAGTTAAGTAGTGGTGTGCTCTCCTGCCAATGCCTTTCAAGGACAGGAGGGCTGGACCAGCTTAAATACTTACAGCTGAGCATAACTCTTGCAGCAAGCCAAGTACATCTATGCCTTTTCCATGGAGGCAACTTCAAAATATCCTAGACTGGTGTCTTACTGCCAAAAGATTCCCTTAAAAATCCCAATCAGTATCAGGAAACTGAAAAACTAATGAAAGAAAACCCACCCAAACTTTTTTTTTTTTTTTTTTTTTTCCTGGGGAGGAAAATTAATTGATGATCAACATACAATTCTTCCATAGTTTTCTGGGCAAATTCAACAGCACACAATCAATCTTATAATTTTATATCACCTCTTTTTAAATGATTCTTCTAAGATCAGAAAACCTTAACTGCACTTTTCACCACAATACACAGAAAAGGCCACTGAAATCTAGCATTTGGTAAACTTAAACACCGTAACAGCACATAAATTTTCAAATCCATAGTTACCAGAGGCATTTTAAAAATAACTCATACTAACAAAGCTTTTAAAAAAGGGCATAAAATACACACTTGAATGCTGGAAGGTCTGGGCTCCAGTCAGCACTCTTGGGATTTATATAGGTAGCTTCCATGATGGGCAATATGAATTATGTATGGACATTTTTCATCCATCAGTATAAGAGAAAACCTATGCATCTCTTCAGGCTCCAAAATGTCCAGCACATGCTAACAGCTTTTGTCCTATATACTAATGGGAATTAAATTAAGCTAGCCTATAGTATCTGAAATCTTTCTGTGCTGGCAAGTAATCCATCAAAAAATAATTTCTATAATACTGCTTTTAGATCATAGTACATGCTGATGCCAGTGACAATTAATTATTAATAGTACCCATGCATTAAAATGTAAGATCTAAGCATTTTTCTTATATGTTACCTTTGACTTTTCTATAGCCAGTAAGAGAAAATAAATATTCAGTGTACTTTCTGTTTCCTCCCTGACAAGCAATAATAATTAACCTGTCCCTCCATGGGAAAGTTTATGAGGTATGTGACTGCTGTGCTGATTCTACCAGCAGTCTAGTACAGAGTCCTCTGCGTGTGTGTCTATGTGTATGTGTGTCTGTGTCCTTGGCCAGTTAATATGGTTCTGAAATACTTGATCTCTTGCACCTGTTACCCACAAATAAATATGTCAGACCTCATTGTTTATGCCATTCCGCTTTTCTTTTTATTTCTGTGATCTTTCCCCTGAAACTTGGACAATGAGGAAGAAGACCACTTTGATTTTGTTTGGCATGTGCTCATTAGAAACAATATAAGCATGTCAATTACCTTTAACTTGTAGGTTCAAATACAAATCTCATATGCAAGTAGAGGATTAGATACCTGTCCCTTTGTTGGAGGAGTACTGCCCTGTATAGAGACTCATAAGCTTTTTGTGGCAAATAAAACATGAGACTTTCAAAATGTAATTTTTGCACTTTTACTGCTTGATGTCAGTGGGGAGTCTGTATCACACCATTCAGTGTTAATTTCATAGCATTGCTAATCTTGCATTTCCCCATAACCTCAATGCCAAACAATTCAGGAGAATATTGCAATTGCTTTTTGTTACCATTTTCATGCAACAGGCAGGGACAATCAGTATTAGGCCTTAGGCAACAAATCTAGTTACAGATTAAAAAAAAAAATTTGGAGGAAAGATGCAGCAACAAGAAAGCAGCACTGACTGAGCATGCTTCTACTGTGGCACAGACAGAAAGGTAGTGGACGTACTGTAGAAGCTGGCCATTACGTAGTTTTGGCAGCGATCACCAGTAAATTCATTTGGGCACCTGAGAGGAAAACAAACAAAAAAAATGGTAGAGAAAAAACAGAGAAAAGAGAAGAAGTGAATATATGCTAAGAAAGAAGCTCCTTCAGTGTGAACTGATATGACTTGGTGAGTTCACTTTCAGAAACTGAATCTCAGTTTAGCATGTCAAAATGGATCAAGATGTTGAGAGCAACTCATTTGCTCTGTGGAAATGAAAAGAAATCCCCCCCCCCCCCGAAAAAACAGCCAAAACACAAACCAATCCAGATCAAAGTGTGTTTCGAGACATGAGACAGAAATTAACCATTCCAAATTCCCAAATTGCTTTTAGGATGCACTTTCCACAAGGCAGTGAGGACACAAGATCTGTACATCACTTGTCTGTGAGTTTGTTCTTTTAGGGTTGCACTTCACAGCAGTCTCCCAAACAAGAAAACTGCCAGTTTGTGCAATACAAATGCATCTACAAATGGATGAAAAGATCAAAAATCACACAAATGAGGAATATTTTTGAGGTCAGTAATGCCATGGTGTACAGATTTTACTTTAGAGAATCAGGTCATAGATTAGTTCATAAAGAGGCCAGTTCCAGCTGAACTGTGAAAACACCAAGTACTATTGATTTTGTTGCTGTAGTTGGGGAAGAAAGCAAAGTTCAGATTATTTTAACATACTTTCTTGGTTTTGGATTTTCATAGGCAGAGTTTCAGTACATCTTGCTCCAGTGAATCCAGGTTGGCACCTAAGGAGCAAAAACGTGATAAGCAAAAGTACACCAAAACCACTGCACTAACAGACTGACATCTGCTGGCCTATGGAGATGGGAGTGCATTAAGCAACCTCCTGGTTAGGTGTTAGTGAAAAATGATCAGAAGAGGGGCAAGAAAGTGTAACCTTTCCAGAAGATAACACTTCGCAAAATTTACAGCAAAAATCCACCAGAGAAAAAAATCTACGAAGTCTTTTTGCTTGTCTGCTTTGAAACAGAAAGAATCATCAGGGCTAGCAAAAATGTGTATCAGATCATTGCTTATTCCACCTCATGAAGGGACCAGACTGAGTTTTTTTAAAATTTGCAGTACAGCATATACAGTGATTTACACTGTTGCTTTCAATAGTCACTTAAAATCTATGAAAATACCATTAATCCCCTATTTCCATAATGACATGTTGTGTCTTCCAGTGACTTCTTTTAAAGGGGAATAGTCAAAAGAGCAATCACAGAAAAGCCAAAAAAATTCAGAAAGTGAAGGAATTTTCTTCTGTACTTTGCCTGTCTTTTCTTCTGCTGCTGGCTGTCTATTCTTCCTTCATCTTTATTCTCTTTCTTGGGGTAGAACTCAGGCTCCCAAAATATCACCATAGCAATCCAGGCTCCTGTGCTTCAGACATAAGTGTGCATGACTGTCTGACACACTAAACATCTATAGATTTGAATCTTCTTTCCTCTTCCTTCTTCTAATCACTCTTACTCAGCATGTAACCTGAAATTACCTGTCATCTGCTTCCTTGAATGCATCTCACTTGCGTTGCCTGTCTTTCTGATTATCTCTACGCATTTGCCATGCTTCGGGAATCTCCCCTCTTTTTCTCCAGCTGCTGATATGGTGTCAGGCTCCTTTTCAAACTGCTTCATCATTTACATTTACCAAAGAGCCTTCTCATTTGCAAATGCACATTGTTCATAACAATTCTCCACCTCTTCTATCCATCCAAGTTTCATGTGCATTGAAAGCTGTCCTGATTTTTTAAATTCCACTCTTCCACAATTGCCTCTAGCCCTAACAGTCAGGGATGCTGCCCTTGTACAAGTGGGAATTCCAGAAAATCACTTTAGCAGAGGATCAGCATCAGGCATAAATACTAGCATCTTGTTCAAATAAGCCATGCAGGAATGATTTTTGTCTAATAAAGGTATATTTGGAGGATCTGCAGATGATTCTTTGGAGCTGATTTACTATAATGATATATTTGTTTATCAAGGGAGAGAATTTATGTTCTTCAGAGCCAAGGTCACATCTTTTGATAAGTACCCAGTGGGGTGGGATCCCAGTCTCCACAGATACATTCAGTTGAGAAAAACACAAGGATAACTCTGTCATGAAAAGGTGGTATTGCTAGGCATGATAGAAGACTTGTTCTGTCTTTGATAGAAGGCAAAATGCCTATGATAGAGGGCATTTTGATCTGTGTTACTGAATGAGAGTAAAAAAGTTTTACCCTTGTAATTTCAGTTTTATTTTGCGCTATGGTGATCTCGTTATATACCCATCCCTGGAAAGTGGTAATTCACACCTGCATTGTCTTTCATTTCACAGGGTTCCCCCCATCTTGTTTGTCAGGCTCAGTCCTACACAATTCCAATGAATGTACTGCTGATTAAAAGCCTCAGACTTTGCTCCTACCACTGGCTCGTGGTGGTTGCTTGCTCCATCTGTGCTTGTCTTCAGATGTTGGTGCAGCTGTGGAGGTGATGAAAACAACTTGAGGACTGGTGTAGACAATGCTGAGATCGCTTCCAGACCGAGCAGGGTCAGCCCTGTTGAGATGGCGCTGAAAACAGTTCATGTGTTTTTCTACTCTCTCTGAACCCATTGTCAGCAAACGGACTGCAGCACCTGCCTGCTGCTGAGAATAGTTCCAGGGCGGACCAGCCGAGACAAGAACCAAGATGAGCCTGTTGGCTTATGATGATGTGTGAAAGCTACATGCATTTTATTGCTCAGATATGCAGTGCACCACCATTTCCAGTGCTATTTGGCAGTAGCCAGTGCTAATTACTGTAGATTGTGATTTTACAAGCACAGTCTTATTGTGTCTTTCTTTTCTAGTTCATTACCCACGTATCATTTTCTTTTATGACACTAGCAAAAGTTGGAGTCGGGCAGCTCAGGGCAACAAGTAGACATTTGTGCTGCAAGAGCCTTATTATTTCCTTTTTGTCTATAAAAGGCTACTCAGAATACTTATTTATTGTATTAACTAGGTGAAACCACAATACTAAACAACATATACTAAAATAATTGCTTATCTCCTCTACACACAGTAGTTGCAAAGAGCAGTATTTGCATGTGTTCAGAAAACAATTCTCAGAACATCAAATGCATATCATCAAAATGTTTTTCAGCAGGAGAGGAATGGCTGAATGGATCAGGACCTCACATTTCCACTTCATCCACTGCCTATAAGCAAATGCGTTGAGGAAGAATGTTTTTTTCTCATGGGAAGTACAGTACACTTCCATATTCAGTAGTCTATTTCATAGCCTAAGCCAGAACTACTATTTCTATCCTGCCTGTTGAATGAGTATCTCTGGAACATTTGCTAGCATCATGGAAGCAAATTTTCTCTTTTTTCTGTTTTCAAGAACCTTCTGTCAATTTCTATTCCACCAAGGCCTTTACATGAAGATGGGTATAGAAAATGGTTGTATCATTAAAAAGCATGTAATCCACTCTTGCTGTTAAGAAAATAAGCAGCATCCTTCAATTAGAGTGAAGCATTATTTTAATCCAAAGAAATCCATATGTAAATTCATTTATCCAGTAACAACAAAAGCACTAGAAAAGATGGTCTCTGTGAGTAAAGAATCAATTAGTCAGACCAACAAGGCCTTCATGGTAGGATACTTCAAAAGAACACTCTAGAAGCATAATAGATGTTATATTCATATAGATTTTTCATCAAGTAAGAAGAAAATGCTAGGGATTCTGGTCTAAATTTTGTATTTATTGAAGAAGCTATCTGATTTTTTGTCTTTGGTGAACCTGGGGACACATTTCCAACTGTAGAGAAATGACATAGGGACCTCAATCTCATAAGAAGCCAGTAATGTCCTAGCTTCCAAAGTCTATGATATTTTCAAAATGTGACTCGTGTTCCTATGAAACTTAAGAAAATTTTATACAGTAGTTTATTTAAGTAGTCTCAAAGCTTCTTTTCTCATCTTTCATATTTTGAGATATGTTCATATTTTGAGATTTGTTTTGTTCAGTCTGAGGACATAATTGAAATACATGTATGGAATATATATGCTACCATAGATGTAGCTGTACAATACATTACTAAGTCTTCATACATTTCTTGAGTATTTCACATGGTTACCTCTTGAAAGCAAACACAAAGTTCACAGCAGTATTCATGAGAGCAAGTTTTGATCCAGTCTGGATAATTTTACTATATATTTTACAAAACACTTTTTTTTTTTTTTTTTGTTAATACATGGCTTGATTTTAACAGAAGAGGGATTTAGGAGTTCTTTTTTTTAATAGAATAGGGTGTTCACAAAAGCAGAGATATCACTTGGAAAATTCCATGGTTGTTGTGAATCTGAGTCATATTTTTTGGTTAGGGATAAAACCAATTTAGAATGATATGGCTCATGCTTTAGAAATTTTGTTTTTGCTCTCAACAGATGGACCATATGGAAAAATGCGAACTTGCTACTGAGGCAGAAATATGAAGAGCAAGTACCATATTTCAAGCATTCTGTTTCCACAGGCATGTTCTGGGAGAAGATTTATTTTCTCAGAACAATGAAGGCAATGTGTACTGGTTAGATACTTATTTTAATTAACACTGGAATATTTGAATTAAAAGTAGACATCTGTATTTTTAATGAAATAAGAAGAGAACTGTATTTTGTCTCTTCAGTTTTCCAGTACACCCACTTTTAAGTACTCACACTTTTATTTCTTATGTGGCTGTATTGCATCCCGTTTTGCTATACAACATAAAGTTTCAGCTCTGACAAGCATTAGAAGGAACAGAAAAAGACCCTGAAAAATAGCAGTGGCCCTGTCTGCAGGATAAGAATCCTTTTCCACTGCTGTAGTCTGAGGTTCACCCTCTCTGATTTTACAGCTCTGATGCTTTTTCCAAATAGGTCTTGGGCCACCCAGGGAGAGGCACATCTGTCAAATTTGGGAAGTGCCTTTTCTTTCAACTCCAGCCCCAGAATTAAAGGTTATTTCTTGTCCACAAGACAGGAAAAAAAAAAAAAAATCTCCACTTCATTCAAGTGTCTCTGAGACATTTAATTTAAAATCTAATCTATAACATCAAAGAACAAACATAGATCTCTGAATTAAAAAAAAAAAAAATTCCCCATAACAGTGAAAATGGGATACCTCTGAAACTGTCAACACAGTGCACATTATTAGCAAGTCTGTTAGATGCTCAGATCTCCTGCCTTGGAGTTTTCTGAGCAGTGTTTGGGTAGGAAGTTGAAACAGATAGGTAGGCTCTTGTACATGCCCTGGAGAGTCCTGGCAAACTGCTCATCTTGTACTGCTGGCTTATAATGATCATGTAAATTTAACACAAATTTTTCTCTCTCTCTCACTCTTTCAAAAAGGATTCCAACCCACCAGAGCCAGTAACTTTCCCATATTCACTTTATCTAAAAATTATTCTAAAATCAATGAAATATTCATCAATTTTAGCAACAGAGCTATCTGTGAAAAACCAAAGCAAAACAAAGCTCATAAAGGGCAGGTAACATCCTTCTACAAACAAAAAGAAAACTCACAAACAAAGCAGAACATTGTGGGATTTGGTGTTTGTGGAGCTTTTTGGGTGTGGGTTTTTTGTTTTGTTTTGTTTTTTTTTTGTTTGTTTGTTTGTTTTAACAACAGAGACAAGCAGTCAGTGCCTTCCTGGCCTAATGAAAGCATCATAGACAGTCACTTAACTCACCCATCAGAGCCATATTTGCAATTAGTATCATTTGATTTTTAGTCCTAGAAGACTGAAAATCTATGCATTTACAGCAGACAACAGTATTTACTGATCACTGTCTCTTGTCTGTCTGAAAACTAGCAAAATCCTCACAAAAGCACATCCTTTACATTCAATCCTGCTAGATCCCAAGGATGTTTCCCAAGGTTTAAATGCTGAGTTCCCTCTTAAACTGAAAAGAAGCAGTAACTCACTATGACTAGTTCAGCTCCAGAGGTAAATTCTACATGATGTGCTACCAGTCAGGAGGCGAGCTCCAGTGCTGTAGCTCTATGGATGTTCTTCAACATAATGGACTATTGCAACAGCTCGACACAGCACATGCCAGGACTTGAGAAAGGTGCACAAGTACACTCTTAAAACTAAACTCATATGACTTCCTGAATCAGGATCCTCACATGAATAGTAACCTCCAACAATTACCATGACATTCACTGTTTTTTATGTAATTAAACACAACAACAAAACCTCCAGTTGTGAATCCAGTCTCACCAGAAAGTGTTTAGTTACTACAGCAGACGATAAAAACAACCAGTTTGTCCTGTATAAAGGGTTCTTATCCAATACGGTTATCCACACACCTTTTATTTGCTATTTGCAGTGTATTTAGTATACATTATCTGTTTTATTATTTCTAACATATGGCTCAAGCTGTGTTACTTCTTTCCATGTAAACATCAATGGGGCTTGCTGTGCTAGTATTATGTGGGAAGATTTCCCAGTTGGTCTCTGTTATGCCTCATATATAGAACACGGAAGTCATTCTTGCTAGGTTATTTTCACATCCACATATTTAAAAGTGAAGAAATATCTAATGCCACAAGTATAGGAGAAGAAATTGTTCAGGTGGTCCTTTAAAGAAAAAAAAAACATTTCTGGAACTTCGTGGCTCCACCAAAGTAAGCAAATAGGATTTCTTACCTGCAGAGGTATCTTGGAGGGTTTGGGAGGTCTTTAACCATGTAACACTCTCCCCCATTTACACAGAAGGCTTTCTGCTTTATGTCACATTTTGTGAGATGACTTGTCCCGGTTGTAGATGTGGAAGTGGCTGGGAAAGACAAGAGTGGACATATGATCACAATGGCTTAGTTTTCTTTCCTGACTGGTAAGTGTACTTGTATGTGAGGGAAGAAGTAAGGTCAGGGAGGATCTGGAAAGTCCTCTGAGCTCTTTATCTGCTGCTATCAGAAGCACTAACTACCTGACACTGTATTTTGTTGATCAGCACAGGGAGTGAAGTTTAAATGTACACTTCAGAGATACACTACCCCACACCCAGACTGGGACAAAGAGAGTATTTCACTAGTTCTGTCCATCAAGTGACCTTAAATTTCTGCAACACTTGTGTATTTCATTAAAAATGTTTAATTTTTGTGCAGCTACTTATAGTGCATTAATTGCATTCAAATGATTTTAAGGTGTGAGAGTCATTACAGACATTATAGTGCCCAATAAAACGAGGCCCTGGATGTTGTTTCTTCCTGGAATTGCCTTGAAGGAGGTCCTTTTCAGTGGAGCTAAACCTGAGGCCCCGTGTTGATTCAATCACTCCGGACTGAATCCCTTGGTCCAGCCACTGCCTTGTTCCCAGGGGAGTGAGTGACTGGTTGAATGTTGAATTCTTCATCCTCTGCTCATAAATGAGAACTGTAGATGCTCTGGTTCAGCTCTGTAGGGAGGGAGAGGACAGGGGAGCTGCAGGCATCATCCCTTCATGTGCATATATGATTGCCTCCCTTGGGTCCACAAGAGTCTGTGATCCGGAGACCAAACTAGCATCTTCTGCATATGAGCTCATCTGCATTAACAGTTTTGGGCCACCAGTGCTGCCAGACACCATTCGGTGTCTAGATTGCTATTAAATAGAAGCACCACTGTACCTGCAGTGTTTCTTAGCTTACTCCCTGCTGCATTTTGGAAATATCTGGAGAAGGCAGGATCAGCATTTAGTTAGCAACCTTTAAGAAGCTGCCAGGGTAGGATAAGCAATCCCAGCCTTAGGATTTGCCCATGCAGTGTCTGTCAAGTTAGTGCCCTGACCAAAGGAAGCTACCATAGGAGGGACAGTGATCAAAAAGTCCCCACTGCAGTCATTGTTGGTAACTACTACTGTAAGGTGAATCTGCCTGAGGTTGCCCTCAACGAGCTAACAGCAACGGGGATGATGGGGAAGCCATATCATGTCCTTAGATCCTCATGCTGCTATGTGCCTGCAAAACCACCTCCATGAGCTGAGTAAAGCCTAAGTCAGGCATGTACCTGCTAGGCTGGCTGCAGCTGCAGCCTCAAACTACAGTCTCTGGTTGCCCACTATTTTGAGTAAGTTTTGCTCTAAATTCTGTCAAAACAGGGTAGGCATGCTTGAAGCCTGGACACCAATCAACACCCAGCTCAGGAACCATGCCACTGGTAGTCTATGTGACCTCTGTCAAGCCATTTGTGTTATTCATTTCACATGATTTTATCTGCTTAAAACTGAATCATTTATTTGTAAGGCACTCTCTACTACTCTCAGAAAGCAGATCAACTAGCCCCTCTGATAGTGTCTGCCTCCCTACATTGACTGCAGAGAAAGCTTAAACTCGTGAGAATATGCCCCTAATTTTTAAATGTCTAAAACTAACTGAAGTGACTATCTGTCAAGTGCAAAAAGTGGGAAAAATTCCTGCATGGTTTTTGTTTAGACATCTCCAGACACACAGAAGTAAGAAATTTTGCTACAGTGCTGAACAAATCCCAATATTTTTGTTTCTGAAAGGTAGATTCTACCCTGAGGTGGGACAATGCTTTTATCTACTGACTGATTCCACTGGAGTTGACTGGAAAGCTGTGAGCACCTACACAAAATTTGTCTGGTAATCAAAGATTTTTCTAACATGAAAGCACCCAAGGGGCATGTTTATAGCAGGTGATGCATGACATCTTACCATTTGCTGCACATACTGAATCCAAAGAAAACATGCTTTTAGCAGATTTGCTATCAACTAATACCACTTACACATTTTGAGTTCTTCTTCCAAAGAAAAAGGATGAAGTAGTACCTGTCACATTTTATTTTCATGTGTTTCTCATCATCTTCCAAGTAAAATTGTATTTTTAGCACTCAGCATTTGGGAGAATGGAACACCTTGGTTGGCACCATTTTCAGAGTGGCTTTAGCTGTGTTGTTTCAAGGAGACATGAGATAGTGACTGAGATATTTAAGTCCCCTCTTTTACTCCACCAGAATCCCATCTGCCTGTAATGTCTCTCATATCCCTCCCTTCCTTTGCCATTAACCACCAGTGTCTCATCTTCTTTTTCTTTCTTCTATGATGCCTTGCTTACATGGGGTTCCCTCCTCTGATGGGCTCTCCTGTGACCTCTTAAAAACTCAAGCTCCCCCATGCTTCTCCTTTTTGCACCCACCCATTGGGTCTTATCTTTCCAGATCCTGTTCCTGACTGGGGCTTCTAAGTGCTAATGAAATGCAAACACGGAGTACTAATTCCTCATAGCACACTCCTTTCTCTTGGCCCCTCAAAGCATGATTTATAACCTCTCAGAGCAGGATAAATTTATGCCTTGTCTAGAGGCAGGAAAAGGGGTCATGTTTTAAGAGTAGTCTGACGTTCTTTTGGCTAGCACTGGTTCAAACAGGACTTTACACTCAATGTTGACAAAAGGCTGGCGCACAGATTGCCATTAGCTCAGCAGTGAAGGGTCATCTATACTTGATGTCAGTGGGTTGAGCACCATCCTTGACATGACTCTTAAGATGGAGAGATTTTCCTTGTGGAAGAGCCTCTCCTCCTTCACTGGCACGAAAGGAGCCTGGATTATTAGACCAAAGGAGATGCCTGACATGACAGGCTGCCGCATACCAAGGCCTAAGATGTGACAAACATGGCAAAGTGAATCTCATCTATATAGTAGTGCACATTTTGAAGCCTTTGTGAGTCTTAACAGGTATACTCACTACTAAGCTTATCCCTGCTTGAAAGATTATTTTGTCCTTTTACCTTATTAAAAGACCTCAACCTGCAACCTCAGGATGTCCTCACATTTAGAAAGCTAATGTATTAATTTGGAAGGGAAAACCAGCATTATTGTCTGCAGCATTTCGGACAAAAAAAAAAAAAAAACCACCACATTTTGATACCCTGCTGTCTAATGGAACGTTTTAAATAGAATTTTGAAGGTAGATACAGTAACAATTGGTTTTGTAGCTATTTGTAATTGTTTTCATCATCATGCTTACTGCTTTTTCTTTAAGCACAGCTCAGTCAAAAGCAGATCACTGTGGAGTTTCACAGTAACGGTTATTTCCCAGCTGAGTTAAGTGAGCTTTGGATAGCAGCAATTGCTCTGGACTGATTACTAGAGATGGGAATAATCTTCAGCTCTCAGAGAAATTTCATGATACAAGGGCTTTACACATATCTGAGAGGAGTGCCTCTATCCATGACTTTGGCATCTCATGTTCAAAACTGTTGTATAAATCTGGTGCGAGAATTTTCTTTGCATTGCTGATCCACTGATGCTGTAGTTCCAGTCTGCCTGAGCTTTGTAACTCCATGGGGTGAGGGGAGGAAAAAAGTTTCCAGTGAGTTAATTGTGACATTAATTTGTCTTTGCAAAGGATGCATAATTTTTATGGCATATGGCCATATGGCCAGTATTCACTGTAAGTATATTTTGCAAATTAAATACAAGAAACAATAACTGTGGTTTTGGGTTTCACTTAAAGCCACATAATGGAAGAAATGTGGTGTTTGGGAGCAGGTGTTCATCAGACCCCATTTCATACAGTCCATAACTAGCCCCAAAACACCGCCTTTCCATACATGTCTAGAAGACATGGGCTTGGAGGATGTATAGTGGGAACAACCAGCAGTGGTAAGGTAAAGGACAGCTGTAGACCATATATATCTATGCGTTCTTTATTCACCTAGTTAAAATTCGTACCTCCTTTCTTTTCTGTAATGTTTCTTCAGCTATATAAGTACCAGATAGAAAAGCTGGTTTGTTCTAGAGTCCTATACCAAACCCCTAGATTACTGAAAGTACTAAATTACATGCTGTAATCGAAAGTTGAAAATATGATGCATGATATAACAACTGAAAACAGCTCATTCTCTACTTTTTTTTTTTTTTTTTTTTTTTTTTTTCCTGAATACAGAAATGCCACATTTAAAAAAGCAACTGCAGGCAGTATGAACAAAGTCGCCACTAATGCAAATATTCACATGGCACTGAAAGACAGTGAGATCTGCTCCCATCTATGGCAACTGATTAAAACCATTAACAAGAAGAAAAATAGGAGCTTTTTCATCCTCTAAAAACTACTCTCTAAAATATTAATTACTACTGTAAAACTACCTTAGGATCATTTAATGTCAAGCAGACACAACTTCATGTAATTCTGAGCTTACCAGGGGAATGTCTCACCCCTTTTTTGTCCTGAAAGAAAAAAAAGCACTCTTTCTCTTTCCTGCTTTCCAAAAAAACCTCTGAAGTTCAGTGGCTGCAGCATCAGGACTCCCAGGCCCTGCACAGGTAAGGCCGTCTGTTGAGAGGGGCCCTAAGAGATTTCGGAGTACAGACTCAGAGGGAAGGACTTTGCAACATAAACATAATAATGTCCATGCCTCTTTGAATTGAATTTCTGCAAAGCTGGTGTAAAATCAGAGGACACACTCAAAGTCATGCAAGGTGACTAGTGAGATGTTTATGACTCAGTGGAGACAAAGGCAAGTGACAGCTGCAGCACAAAGGCTGCTTACAGGGATGTAAATATGTCACTTATTGGACTGCCCAATAAAGACCCTTCTAGGTTCCTTTAGTGAAAAAAAAAAGTGTATGTTACTGGGGAAGAACAGAACAAATACTTCTGATTATCACAGTTTTCTGAGACTAAGGCTTGAGTTAAGCCTACTTGCAGGTCATGCCAATGGAAGAGGAAAGGACCTGCATGGAGTGAGGGAGGGACAGAGGGAGAGAAGGAGGGAGAGAGAAAGTGCACACAAGCAAGCTTTAGGGTTACAAAGTGTGTGACCCCAGAAGAAA